AATTTTAATAATTATAATAAAAAATAAATTTAACATTTTAAATAGGATTATAAACTGACGCACATATAGAGTTGTGGGGGCACATGCCTCATGGATTTCTTTTTCCTTTTTACTTGCGGAACATATCTAAATGGGTGTGGTTATCAAATTGCATAGAGTGCCTAGAGTGGCCCCACTCATTCTATTTCCCAAGGCCCAAGACCCCAAGCCCAGTCAAAGTCTCTTCTTATTCAAAATTTTTAAAAGCTTTTTTTAAATAAATAAAAAAAAGCAATAATGACAACATTTAATTTTCTTTTAGGAAACTATAAATCCTTCGTATAGTACTATACAACTCAATTCTAACGAATGACATTAATTCTTTATTTTTCTTTGATCAAATTCAATTAAATTCAATTATGTTTTTTTAGGGTAAAAGCATAACTTCCTTTTCCTCTTATGTTCTTTATATATTATTTTTATGCATTTTTATCACCTCTCTAAAAATACCAATCTTCATACCTTACATTCTTAAGTACCTTTCGATTATTTTTCACCTTCATTATTCTCAATTTTTTCTTTCACCTCCTCAAAAACTTTTTTCTTCGTTATCTTTATCAACAGTTCTAATGTTTTCAAGATTGTAAAAGTTGAATTACATTAAAAATGTATCTTTTTATTATGTACATATAATACAATATACAATATACTTTTTCTTATATTTATTTGTGCCCTGATCCGTCACTGAATAATGTTATACATTAAAGTAAAAATGAAAATAGCATACTATATCATAGTTTTTTTATGTTAAATATACAATTGACATCAGTATTTACATTAAAGATGGTCTAAATAGTTAGCTATTTTGATTAAAGCATTTTTTACTAGCTAAGAGCAACTCCAACCATGCTAGTCATTTTGGTGACGTTTAGTAACGGAATTCATGATTCATGATTCACTACAGTATTTTCTCTCACAAAAATACACGTAAATAAAAAATGATTCTAATCTCATGATTCTAATCCATGAACTAAACGTCTCCCATGTTTTTAGCTAAAATAAATCATGATTTAGTTTTTTTTTTTCAACTTTTCTCCACTCCAACCATTAGCTAAATGGTTAGCTATTTTAGAGAATGTCTTCCACACTAGTTAAATATAACTAGCATGGAGAGGCTTGCTATTTCATTTTTTATATTATTTTATTATTCAAATCATAATAAATGTAAAGGTTCTTTTTAAACTCAATAAAGTTATTTATATTTTAAATTCAATAAATATTAAAATAATCTATGTTTAGCTAAAATAGAGTATGATTAGAGTGATTCACTAAAAAGTTGCTAGCTAAATAACTTTCTAACTATTTTAGTTAGAATTTAACTAAAATTTAGAGAGCTCCATTGGAGATGTTCTAAATATAGTTAGCAAGAAGTGGTTAACTATTTGTTCTTTTTATTATTTTATTCTTTATTTTGACATAAAATAAAAATTGAAAAAAAGTTATTTATATTTTAAACTCAAAAAAATATTAAAATAATACGTGTTTACATAAAATATAAATACGATTAGAGTGACTCATTCAAAAGTTACTAACTAAGAGCTTGTTTGGTTCATGGATTAAAACCATATGATTAGAACTATTTTTGATTTACGTGTATTTTTTGTGAGAAAAAATATTGTAGTGAATCACGAATCATGATTCGAATTAGAGAACGAATCTCTTTACCAAACGAGCTCTAAAATAACTTTCTAACCATTTTAATTAAAATTTAGATAGCTTATTTGGGAATGCTCTTACAATATTACGTTTGTTAAAGCCTCTAAAACCGAACATACAAAGTCCAACATTGATAAGGACTGGCTTTTATTTTTATTTTGCATCCTATTCTCTATTATTTACTTTTGAATATCCATTATAAATGGAATTAATAAAAATGTGATTTGTCCAAACGGAGATTTCTCCCATTAAATTTAGAGTCTGCTTGTTTTAAGAATTATGTATTATTTAAATTATAATTATTAGTCTTGTTATAGTATTTTTCTCTTATAACAAATTTAAATTTTAAAAGTCATAATCATAAATTATAGTTTGAACTCATGAATCGAACTCTAAAGCTTGAATTCCACATGATAGGGGACTTTTTTAGGTGCAATTCCATCAACTTTTGTTGAGGCAATTCTTACTTGTTCATCGGCAATTGATCTAGCTCCTCACACTTGTACTTTTAGAGATTAATTGAAATACTGGAGCATTGAAATTACCAAACAGAGCATGGACCATTTTCTTATCTTCTTTGTTCTCTCCGGTTACGAATTACGGTTTTCACTCTCCACGTTTAAATTCTAAACAATTAATCACATCTTATATTGTAAGAGCAAGTCTAACTAAATTAATCATTCTATATTTTTAATCAAAATGACTAATAATTTAGTTTTTTTTAACACTTTTTTTTCAATCTAACGTTAAAAGGTTAGTTATTTTAAAAAATAATTTTTACATTAGTTAAATATAATTAGTATGAAGAGTCTAGTGATTTTATTTTTATATTATTTTATTATTTCAACTATAATAAATGTAAAAATTAATTTGTAAATTCAATAAAAGTATTTATAATTTAAATTAAATAAATATTAAAATAATTTATATTTAATTAAATAAAAAATATAGTTATAGTAACTCATTAAAAAAGTATTAATTAAAATAATTTTAATTAAAATTTAAAGAGTTATCTCGGAGATGCTCTGAGATGGACACGAGGATGGGTTTTGCAAAACGGAGGGTTTGATAAATTTGGTTTGACGCTTTTCTCAGAGCTAACGGGGTCTTGCCACGTCGTACTCAACGTGGCGAAATATTACTTCAGGGGAATCAAAGGTGCACCTACTTTTCGTGAATGCCGTGCGCATCCCAATGCAACAGATTTTTTTTTTTTTTTTTTTTTTTTTTTCCTTCAAGGGAGATTTTCCTTTTGTTTTTCCGAGACCCAAGTTATAAATGAAACATTATCCATGAAGTTTTTTATTTTATTTTTTTTATTTTTTTTAAGGGCTCAAGTAAATTTTTATCACGGACGCGCTTATTGGATGAACCCAAATAACTCGATTTTTTTTTTCTAATGACTCGAAACTTGAAGATTTTTTTTTTTGGAAATTCGAAAATGAATTGCTTAATTAGAGTTAATAATATCCCCATCTATAATAAGATTTGAGTTGCCTACTATTTGGTATACACAAAAAAAAAAAATATATATATATATATATAAATAAAAATAAAAATAACGAATATACGTGTCAAAAAAGGGAAAAATAAAATCCTAAAAGATTCAAAGAAAATGGCAATAAGAATTATATATTTGAGTTGCCTACTATTTGAGGTAATTTTTCGGATTGTCTTGCTTTATATATTTATTCTCTCTAACGACTATTTTTTCCGTAACCCTTTGATGACTATATACGTATATGCGCACATCTATATATCTTTTGGTTTAGTTTTTTACCAACGACAACTCTTATTGTAACATGTATATGTATATATTTTTTTGATTGAATATTGTAACATGTATCTGTGATGTAAATACCACGGACCTCATGTGGGACCTTAGTGGGTCCCTTATACTCACTCGGTGATATCTGAGACTATTAAAAATGCTGAAAAGTCACAGAGACATAAAGTGTATCATCAGATCTCTTTTTTTTTTAAGAAAAAAAAAATAGTATATCATGTTATATATATTTTTTTATATGTAACAAAAAAAAATTCTTTTATCATCGGCCAAAATGAAATGAGAAACAAACTGGGGTTGAACCCGGCTCGAACTAAATATCGTATATCATATTAATTCCTCTATAGAAGAATCATACTGTTTTCTCATATATTATTATTTTGTTAATCTTTATTTATTTATTTTGTTACCGAACATAATTTTAATATTTAGATATCTTTTACCAATGACTCGTGGCTAAATTTAAGGCAGGATGTCAATTCAAACCAAAGTGAAAATGTTAAGTTTGGAGGATTGGATTTCACAAATTTACATATTAAATCTTTAAATTTATAATACTTTTACAGTTCATTTGTGCACAACTCTCACAAGTAATAAAGTTTAAGTTCAATAAAATTTAATTAATTACACTTGAGTCTTCAACAATAAACTAAATTGCAATACTATAATAAAGAAACAAACAAACTTTAACTAACAATGTAGGAAAAAATATGAGTTCAGATCTGCTGTCTCTATTTTCTTGACTCAGTGATTGTCCTTCAACTACTTATTTAGCATGTTATTTAAATTTAAAAATCTGACTACATAAATTAGAATAAAATACTAAAAATACTTAAACAATTCATGAAATGTTAAAATTTAATTGAAGGGACAACCATCTAAATATAAAAATGATACAACAGATCTCGATTCAAAAAATACATATACACATACGTAGTTCGGATAGCAAATTTTGTAAATTGAAAAATGTTCAATCTCTAATCTAATATGTAACCTTTGAAGTAAGAAAATCTTACTATTACTAACCTAAAATTCTCTCCATCTAAAATCAATCTGAGAGACTGGTTTAGATTAAACGAATTGGTCGAATTCTCATATTCTGTTAACACCTCTAAATTATAATTATTTCATGTTTATTGTTAAAGGCATAGGCGAGTAGTGAAGTTCAAAAATTCTTTTGACAACTCTAAATTTTTATTGTGAGAGAAAACACTCTAGTAAAAAAATTAAATTTAAATTTTTATAAAAAAATATTGTAGTAAAAAATTTTAATTAATATTTAAGTTGTGAAAAGAATAAGAATAAATAAATAAAAAGAAACAATCAAAATTTGCCACCTATGCGCTTACACGCATACCAAAGATTGGTCTTCACCACAACACATATTATATCCTTTATTTCAGAATAAACATAAAAAATTATATTATATTATCTCACACCTTTTTCGTTTCTAAAGACAGAGATATCATATTTATATTATTAACCATAATCTTTATACAAAATGAAGAAACAACAGAGGCTAAGTATCTTGCTAATCAAAATTAACAATGGATAATTAAAGTTTCGTGCATGTTTAAAAGAAAGCCAGAACCTTCTTTTGTTTGTATTTCAGCCGGTATTTTCATTTCCTCTGATTTAATACGCGAGCGAATTCACAACCTTTCTCCTCTCAGACCATCACTTTCTCTCTCCTTCCGACTTATTCACACGGGCGAGACAATGTGGAAGACCGAAGACGCCCCGGAGGAAACAAATAGCGATTCGTTTCAGCAGGTGAAGCAAAGGCTCAAGGACCGATCCAAGGTATGTTAATCCGTGATTTAATTTCGGTTTCGAATCGTGGGTCTTGTTTGTTTTCGTGTATTTTGATCTGGGTCTGTTTGGTTTTCCAGAAAGTGGCTCAGACGAAGGATTTGCTCTCCAAACAAGCGGTTAAGACCAAGGAGATCCTCTCCAAACAGGCCGTTAAGATCGCCAAACAAGCTGAAGAACACGAAAGTTTCATCAGCAAGGTCATTTTTCATATTTTCTTTCCTGTTTTGATTCAGTATCGTATCCTATGGGTTTGAAAATTTGGGATTTACTTTGACATGTTTTGAAGTTTTCTTTAGGTGACACATCTTTTGGGAGTCCTCTCGTTTGGCGGGTTTTGCTTTCTTTTAGGAGCAAGTGAGTAGTAAAGTATTCTGCAGTAATTAAACTTGAATGCACTTTTTTTTTTGTTCTTTAAATCATGTTTGTTTAAAAATTTTGTTCTATATGACAGGGCCCCAAGATATTCGTTATGTATATTGTTTGTTCTATGTCATCTTTGTTCCTCTTAGATGGATATATTACCGGTTCAAGAAGTGGCATTACTATCTTTTGGTAAGTTTCGGAATTACTTTTTTGTAAGTTTCGATATTCTTTTCCATAAGTATCCTCATTGTTGAATTAACAGAATAGCAGAAGCATTTTAAGGCAATGAGAATTTAAGCTCATAAAGTTACATGTTAGGAATTAAAAGTCTCGAAATCTTAGTACATATGATCCACCACATTGTTGTAGCTATTTCTGCTATATCAATTGAAAGATTGATGAAACTGTTTCATCCTCCTCATTATATATGTTCAATTTTACTCATGCTTCTATCGTTTTATCAAACTATTGTTTTTTTAGTTTATACAGTACGGTTAATCTTCATATCGCCTATGACACCCTTTGTTTTCATTATTTTTAAGATGAAGAGAGGAAATGACATAGTTTTCTCTTCCTGTCTTAGGATTTCTGTTATTACGCAAATACAATTTTTTTGGTTCACCTCCTTCTGTACCCAAAGAATGAAAAGCTCTTCATGGTCTGCTTCTCATTTGCTGAGGTAAGACAATAGTTCGTTTGTACTTTTCTTGTAATTGAAGAGCTTTCTGTTTTTTGTTTCTTTTTCCTTTCTACGAGAAAATGTTAACTGGTACAAACTTTTGACTCTGCAACATTGCTGCAGGGGCCCCTGGCATGGGCATTGATTATCTGGCGTTGTAGCTTGGTGTTTAGTTCTCTTGACAAACTTGTTAGTGTCCTCATACATCTTCTACCAGGTGATGTATACTAATTGTAAATTTATATGCTTGATTTACTATCCCGCCCAATTTAAATGTATTTATTTTATTCTGTTTGTAAAATGGGACCTGCTTTTCGTTATTAAATATTCGATCTATATCAGCTATTGAATATTTTGATTCTTGCTACCGAAAGATGACTAGAAGCGGCTGTACCAATGTTTTTTTTTCTTCATTTGGATCTTTTGTTAAAATCGTATCCGATATCAAGTTGTGCTTTAGTTGAGACCAACTTGGTAGATGTGTCAAAAAACAATATGCTCAACTCTTGTCGATCACTATACCATAGTCTACCACTTGGTTTTTGGGCTCCACAAAAAGTCAGAGGCTAGCTTTATGTTGCATTGTTGTCTACTTCAGTGATCTGTTATTTGTAATTGTTAGTCACCATCCGTTATGCCCAATTATTTCTATTAATGCTGTTATTTTCCATTATTATTCAGGGATAGTGTTTTTCACCATTCGATGGTGGGATCCTGCAACGTTTGCAGCCATGCATCCAGAGGGAACGTCTCATAGAGTTTCATGGCCTTATGTAGAAGATAGATCTTACCTGTGGAAATGGCTCTTTATTGTTCCCTTGTGTGCATACACCCTCTGGCAGATTCTTTACTTCCTCATCGTCAATGTTCTGCGCCGACAAAGGCTGTTAAGAGATCCTGAAGTCATGACATCTTATAGGTATTCCTTCCTACTTTTCTCTCCTTCATAAGATTTTTCAGAATGATTTTCCTTGTTATTGCAGATAACCTTTTGTCCCCCTCTTCTAATGACTTTGCGTGTTGGTAGGGAACTTTCGAAAAAGGCACAGAAAGCAAACAACTTATGGTGGCGCTTAAGTGGTCTGCTTGGGGACCAAAACCGCTTGTTGATGTACATTTTGCTGCAAGGTCTATTCACTGTAGCGACGATGGCACTTACGGTTCCCATCTTCTTATCCTACGAGCTACATGTCATTTTCCAAGTACTCAAGGTTTCTGCGACTGCGTGGAATGGAGGGAGCTTTTTGCTAGATGTGATGCCGAAGCAGGTCATTCTCAAGGAGAAGAAGAAATCGGAGATGCAGCCAGTGCAACCTCAGCAAGAACCGTCCGAGATCTTACCAGAAAATACCACGCAGGCTGAGAACTCAGCTGAAAGCGAACTCTCTTTGTTGGGACATTCTTTTTGCGTAACAAAAGACTAGTGATGCTTCTAAATTTCTCTATTCTGAGAAATCAGCTCTCGCTTGCAGACTCATGTTTGAATACTGCTCGTTTCACAAGTCCGTGAATTTTGATGGGCGAGATAATGTGGTTCTTGAACATGTCAATTGAATTTACAAGAAAGCTTGAAAATTTCTCTGACATGTACTTTTGCACCGAGAATAATATTTTGAAGAATTACGGTCAGAAACTGTTTTACTGATATTTGAAGTTGCAAGGCTGAAACATTGCATGCCATAATGTAAGATTTGTTGCTCATTCTCCTTCAATCATATGTTCTTCGAAAAAAAGGTGGTCCGGCGAACCACTTTTCCAATCTTGTCTCTTTGCAATCCATATTTTGGATTTAAGATCCAGTCCTGTATTTGGATTTGTACGTCATATGTGGAACAATTTGGAGAGAAAAATGGCTTCTTCCTGTGTCAAGGGGTTTTTACTTGGCTCTGAAAACAGGAAAAAAAAAAAAAAAAAAAAAAAAAAAAAAAAAAACTTATCTTGATCGGTGTCTTTTTCTTGGTTCTAAAAACAGAATAATTCACAATGGAAGAAGACGTGAACAGATATTCTACAGAAATTTTGTACCCCCAAGAATTGAGTTGCAAAAAAGTTAAATGCAGAAGAATTTGTGATCTTAGCGTTGTCCTAAAAAAGAGTACCAGAGAACAAAACTTTATATTAATGTGACGATATGCTGACAAGCTTCCATCTAACAGTTGAAAAAATAAATAAAAAAATACATATGAATTACAAATTGCTTCCATAACAACCGGAATGACCTATAATATGCATTTTCACTCAAAAACCACTGTGATCTGAAAACCAACAAACAATACAAAATAAGCCCCACCTAAGGGTGAAAAACCTTGGGACATCAACGCACATTATCACGTTAAAAGTGATATGGCTTCTTAACAAATACCCCTCTTGTCGACGTGACGCAAGGGAAAGAATGAAATAACCCAGCCATCATCAAACCAAGATGAGTGGGTTGATTAAAAAAAAAAAAAAGAAAAAGTACTATACACATTGGATGGTGAAAGCGATGAGACTATGCACATGATTCAGCACACTAATTGATGTGCCAAGTGTCTTGCAGACGACCGAGAAACAAGGATTTAACCATGAAAACTGTGGCCGTGCACATCATTCAGGGCGTGGAAGTAGGAAGCCGAACCCTGAGTTTTCACGGATCAATGGCGGAGGATCAATGTCCGCTATATCTACTTGTTTCATTGACTTGGAGATGTCATCCACGGTGAATGGTATGCTGCATTATCAGCGGAACACGTAAGGAGATGGATAAAGTTTGCAGTATGAATAAGAAATAAAGATAACCATTACTGTGAAAGAAATGGAGCAAAGCAGAACAACGGTACCTTGAGTCGTCGTCCAACAGGAAAGAACTGCTAACAGCATTATTAGAGTCCTCAGTCATCATAACTCTCATGCTCGAAATAACCTATGTCATTACGGAATAGATTCAGAAAAAAATTGGCAACAAAAGATTGACCTGTCAGGAGAATGTAGATTTCAAATGCTAAACACAAGGACACAGCTCACTTGCTACATATTGTGTGAGGGATAACACGATATATAAGGTCAACTTACGTCTGTAGATACGCTGTGTGTGCCGTATTTGTCATCCCAATACATTGTACTTATCCTGTATAGCTGCTGGATGCTCAGCACCTGAAGAAGTGGAGGGAATATATTATCAAAAGAAAGAATATAAATAAAACCGAAGGAAAAAAAAAGTCGTGGAACCAGTTTAAAAAGATAGGTGCTAACCGGACAAAGTTCTTTTGTTATTTCATTCAAGGTCTTTTTAGGCTTTTGATGTATAACCTGAAATATTATGAAAATGATGGGAAAAAAATTGGTCAGTCAACTAATAATGGTAATGATCATTTCCAATCATGTAGGGAATATACACAAATCTTTACCAGGAAACCAACGGCCTGTCTAATATGCTTTAATTCATCCCAAGCTGAGCCCGCATACTGGACACAAAAGGATTTTAGTTAGAGATATAAAGAGTGCAACAAACGAAATTCGAAGTGTTCAATGATGCTCACTTCTTCAGTAGCATGGTAGCACCACTGTTCTAATTCCGCCAGACCTGATTTCACATACTCCCCATTACTGAATGAACAACACTCGCGCCGCAAAAGAAGACTGCAGAAACAGTTTCAACAGACACCATGTAATCTTTAGACTCAGTGAAAATTAGCTCGTAAGTAACAATGGGAGGTTTTGGAGATGGAGAGGTATTGAACGGATCTACCTATTGAATAACTGAACATTGATGAATGAGAATATCTGAGTGAACACTTTACGGACTAAGAAAGCTGGGACCTGTAAAGCCAAAGGGCATAAGCAAAAGGTAATTTTGCTCCAGGGAAAAAAAAAAAAAAAAAAACTTTGGACATTCCAAGATAAACTTTACAACTTACATAGTTTGCTTTCATCATCTTCAGATAGTTGTTCAAACTTTTTACAATGCTTTGCCAGTGAGCAATTAATGCTTGCTGAGCAACAGCATTAGCTTGAGAACGTCCTTTCACTAAACTTCCCCGTGATGTCCTTGGTGCCTGCATTGTGTTTGCAAAAATTCAGTTCGAAATCCTCTACTTATGAGTGCCATAACCAAAAATTTACACTTGGATACTTGTAGCAGCTTGAATAATCAATACTACTTTACAGCTTATTATCTTATTTACAAATATTGTTCGTGTCTAAATCAACAGCCAAAATTCAGTAAATTTCCTTGATGATTACTAGTTACCTTTCATTAATTTTAAATTTTTCTCTCTTTTTTCCCCTTTTGAAACAAAAGCAATATCAATTGCACAACAGATATGACTAAAATAACTTCAAAAGTCACCTGGATGCACAACCCAAGTAACGGGGAGATCTCTTTCTTTAAGTTGTCTCTTATCATCCCGTATATCTTCTCAAGGAAGGCAGTAAGCTGCTGCTTAAACAGCAACGCAGGATACTTGGCCTCAACTTGCCGTAAGTCATCCAGCCTACCAAGTCCTCGACCATTAAGGAACGAAAGTCCAGCACTTTGGGGAGAAGCTCGTAAGCCCTGTAGTTCAAGTGACAAACCATTGGAATGATAAATAAATTTTAGTTAAAGGCAGTTAAGAAAAAGATATATAATGCTTCATACTTGGGACATCCTTCCAAAAAGTGATGCTGATGCTGTTCTTCGCCGCTGTGGTGTCAAGCTAGCTGCTCCACTTGCTTTTAGTGTATGTTGAAGCAACAACAATAAAGTTGACGTATTTGATAGCCAGTAAGCTAACCTATCATTGCTATCCTGGACCTAAAATCAACAAACGTAACAAGCATAAGTAGCATGCAATGGTAAATTGTTACAAATGATTAGTGCTAAGATTTTAAACAAACAGGTCTGGATCTTTCAAACCCTAAAAAGCTATCACTCACCTCTATGGCTGAAGCTATTGTTTGAATAATACGATCGAATATGCTAGTCCTCTCAACTTCAAATGATCTCCAGTGAAGAAGACATTTATATATGACACAGGCAGCGACTGGTCTTCCCCCAGAGAATCCCAAATCTTGCGATATACACTTGATCAGGAGTTCCTGGTTCTCCTGAAACAGAAAATTACATTGCAAGAAACAAGTTAGAGAGAGCGAAATACCAATTGCTGGGAGACGAATTATTTCTCATCAATTAATGGCACTTACCTGTTGCTTTTCATTGAGAGATTTCTGCGGTTTTTCCTCTGATTCAGGCTCGCGGGCATTCGAAACAGTTAGAGCCATATCCTGAAACACAGTAAATAAGCAATACGTTTTTAGGAATTAGTTCTTGTTCCCTAAAATGATAAAGAAAAAAATAACAGAGGACTCTTACTGATGCAACCTTGGGTTCACCATTGAGAACATTCCCATTTTCTGGTGTCCTCTGCAAAATTCAAGAAACATTCATCAATATTTCTTCAAGCTTCTATGAAAATGCAAATGAATTCATCATGAGCAATATTTAAAGGGTACCTGAATAATCACGGTCTTTGGTCTTCCAGATAGAGCCTTTCCAGTTGGTGACATGGTCAATGCTTGTTGTCGAAGTACTTGGTTCTCCGACTCTGAGTTGGAAAGTTTCTCCTCTAGCCTGCATTATGAAGAATAAATCAACTTAAAAACTGTAATTGTGAACTTATGGACACGTACATTAACACCTGAGGCCAAGACATTGCAGTTGTACATTAAGAGATAGAAAAGAACATATGCAGTCAAAACACTGTTATCAGGTCTGTTGATTGTCTTTATGACAGCAATACATGGTAACACAATGGTTCAATTTTCACTAGAATTACATACCTTTGCACGGATTCTTGGAACTGATCTACTTTCCTCTCTGTATCTTCAAGTTTTTGGGTGAGTTCTGTATTTCTCACCTCAGCATCAGACCTAGCCTTCCTGGCCTCTTCTGCTGCCTGTCTTTCTGCCAGCAGCGATGCCTGCTCAGTTGCACGGAATCATTAAGTCAGCACTCAGCAGATAACTGATTCCAGGTAACTAATCGCCAGGGTTTATTAGAATGTGCTCCGGATATGACATTTAGGTAACTGTTATATAGTCCTTAAAATGTTCAAAATTATTGTTGGTATCTAGATTTTAAAACAAGCCGAACCCAAATTATCCACTAAAATCAAGAAACATGCAGCTTTTCTTAGACGTGGAAGTGATTATCTTTTCACAAACAATTCCATAGAAAAAGCACATCCTACAATCAATATTAGAGTGCCTACCTTCAAACTCGCCACCTCAGCTGTTAATGAATCAATCTTTTCAGTGTCCTGAACTATCACAGGAGTCTCCTTAATAACAGGAGGTGCTTCTTCAATGGCTTTTCTAGCAGCTTCCCGTTCCTTGATAACTGCAGCATTTGCTTCTTCTACTTGTACTTGCATTGCATGCAAAGCTTCTTGTACCTTGGCTATTTCCTGGGCTTTTTCTTCTTCCAAATCAGTCTGCAATTCAGATGAAAACAAAAGATTTAAATTTCGGTCAAATTCATGCTGTAATCCCCCACCAAGACCATAGCACACTAGTTAATGTACTTACTCGTAATCGCTTCTCAAGTTGCAAGCGCCATGTGAGCTCTTCCACACGCTTTTCAAGTTTGTCCTTCGCTTCTTTAAGTGCCCCTGTTTCTCTTGCAGCCTGGAATTATTTACAATTCGGAATTACTTTCAAGATGACACATCTTACTACAAAAACAAAGGCACATTAATGAGTATGAACGAACCATTTTAAGCTTTCTAAGCTCTCTCCGAGCAACTCTTTGCCTCCAACCACACTGAGTAACAATAGCAGATTTTCGGAGACTTTTGTAATATGAATACGCTATGAACCACCGCACGCGAGCCTGCAAGGCAATAACAAACACAAACCACTTAGTATGTGGTCCTTCAAGACAAGTTCCATGAAAATAAGCACTGGTTTTGAGCTACGTACATCGTAGAAACAACACATAGAGAGGGAAAATAAAACAATCAAAGGGAAAAATCTGTCTGGAAGTTGTTGTGTTTCTATGGGACTCGTAAGAAAAAGTTTCGGAAGATGTGTGGCAACAAACCTGAATAAAGATTGCAGCCTTTGTTTGTTTTCTGAATCTGAATTCATTGCGAGCTGTCATTGCCCTTAATCCAGTCTGCAATGTGATTGCAGACATGCGCACCGTGGAGTATGATTTTCTGCTAATGTGTCGTCTGAAATTCTTCTGTATCTGAATAGCTGCTGCTTCTTGTCGCAATTGCTCATAAAGTTCGCGAGCAAATACACCTAGTTGCAATGGATCGGAGAAACCGGTTATGATTTTGATTGGAAAATTACGGAAACTTAACTCACATACAACCACAAAGTAGAAAATAAGAAAATATAGACATAAAGGATATTCTGGTTCCAATCTAATTAATTAGCAGAAGAAAGACTTAAGTTGTCCATGTTAGCCCAGAAGAAATCAGATGGACGTGCACCGAAGCATAGAATACAATAATATATCATGTCAACAAACTCATGTTCAGCTGTAATTAATCAAACAAATTAGTAGCTAAAGAACTGTTTACTCCAAATGGACTACTTTCATATCTAAAGTTCCATATGAGATGAGCTGTAGCAGTAATAGCTATTAGGTAGTTTTATTATAATGCACTGACAAACCGTTGTTTTAATATCAACTTAAGATGGTACCTCGCAGGTAAGATTGCAATTGAATAGCAGCTCCACGTAATGCAACGAACTCCTTGCGTGCGATATGGGTTCGAATTTGCCTTTGTATGACTCTTGCCGCATTTCCGAGCACCTCTGCTCTTCTAGCATCCAACTCAGCCATTTGGCCAGCTCGAAGGAAGACTTTTGTCTTGCCTATCTGTCAAATGATTTTGAACAAAATATGACATTGGGATACCAGAGACCAATTGGCAATAAGTACCACAATGTGGAAATAACTTAGGTGACATCCAACATAAGTAACTAGACAATATATTTTGCCGCAAAGAATCAGTAAATCCTATGAAGAAATCATAGTATTCAAATATGCTAATTCCTGGCGCAGATGAATTCACTCTTCTGCCCTTTTTCATCATGTCCCTCCCACCCACTCAAAGGTATTTCATACTTGTCATATCTATAAGCAATTATATTTGGGGGACTACCCCATCGCTGTTGCTACATCATGTATTCCTTTATTTATAGTCCCCCCATTGCTGTTGCTAAGCTGCATGTATTCCTTTATTTATTTATTTATCTATTCGGGGAGGTGGGGGATGGTTGATGCTAACTGCTAAGGAGCATGTAAGATCAAAAGAGGATGCATGAGTAACTTGAATCACCTGATAACCTTTCAATCCCCTTTTATCGAGAATCTTTTCGCATGCAGTCTTATCATCATAGCTGTACAAGAAATATTTATGGCAGATCAAAACTTCTGGAAAACACATAAACACTGCAGCATATGAAAACATACATCCATCCCCTTCCCTGGATTACGAACTAGAACCTAAAAATTATAGACTTACTTTCCCTCCAAAACTTCTGGAGCAAGAACCCCAAAGCGGTGAAGAAACTCATAAAATGTTCGCCTAGTGGGATATCCAGCACAACTGATCCTGATAGCCTCAAGAACACCCTGCAAGAATCACAGAACACCATTGGCATGTATAAATCTTAACCACAGAACAAGAATCGAAAAGATAATGATAATATTCATTTGGGTCCATAAAACTAGTGAAGCCAAGCAAAGCAAGCTTTGGGCCAGAGTATACTCACACCACAGCGCAATTGTTGAATTATGTTGAAGTTTTCAAAAATAGCGGGCTTCAGGACATTATTTGGCTTCACACATCTGATGTAGTGAGGTTCTGTTGAATTTAAGGTCTCCATCAAAGATTGAAGTTGTAACTGCATTTAAAAGTTGTCTTGATCATTTATCAGTAATAGAATATTCCAAGAGAACTTACTTGTGACTAGAATGCCATACCAGCGTAAGCAGGATTGTCACATTTTAAATAATGACTCGAAGCAAATAAAGTAATGACTAAGAGAACTTTTGGCATGTTACTTAAAAGTTCAGAATTCACTCTTTTTTCCCCCTCTTTCAACAAGTCAAATACATTACAAATCACCACTTCCATAAGGAAAAAAAAAAACTAGGTTTTGGATCAGATATCATTATTCATTTCCTTCCTCTCACTACCACAAACGTTGCATAAAGAGTGGATGCCACTTAACTTGCAGAACCTACAATCCACCTTTCACGTCAACATAATTTTGCTGTTTTCCTAAACTGAAACTTAAAACCATATACAGGCATTTTAATGAACAAAAAAGAAAAGAAAAAAAAAGATCTATTCATTGTCATGTCAACTAAACTGCCGGATGCAAAGATATGATACAGCATATCACTGATAGTAACCATAATGACTGAAATCTGGATTCACAAAGTTTAGGGTCCTTTCCTTTTTATATTGAAAAATTGAAGGATGATGCACAACTGCTTGTCACAAGCTTGTTCCCTTATTTCACTCTAGTGCAGAAACTGCGCTGCAGAATTATATATTTTCCTGCTTTTACATTATACTATTGAGCGTTAGGACCTTTTAATTTCCAACTGCATGTATAATTATTTCATGGAATGTCTCCTTTTTAATTCATCAAATTGCCGTTGACCATAAAGTTGTAGCTCTCTACATCTTACAGTGAGACAACCAAGGGAACTTTAACTTCAAAATATATATCTAAACTACAGCCGGTAAAAAGGCTTATTTAATCCAAGATATAGAGATCTTGCAAATGAGATCAACCAGCAGTACCTTAAAACGCGACCCTATGGAGGAAAACTTGGATGACTTTGATGATTCTTCGGGAAGTGGTGGAAATAGACCTGCCACAAATGGACATTTTGATGCAGTCAAAAGATCTTGATGCTCTGCCACCACATAATCCTTGTTTTTATCAAGGAACTGATCAGCCAAATACGTCACCTAAAAAGCAGTGAACTTTTCAGCATAAATGCTAGCAGCGGGCATCAGATAAACATGAAATTACAACCAAAACAAAGCTCCTAACCTCCCCAGCATAGTGAGATATAGTAAAACTTGTACGAGAGAGCTTAGGTTTAATAAACCGCTTGTTGTTTTTGAATGTCTGGTACAACTTCTGAGCAAACGTTTCATGTGTGGATTTTGGAAACATACTGCATAAAAAAATTAAAAAAAGTCAACCAAGGGAAAGAATGCGAATCAGGCAAGTATATTAGAACAGGTATTTAAAAATCTCATAAAGAATTGGAGTTTAAACATATGAAAAACTATAAAGTCAGTATAATGCCCAAGTTCCTCTTAAAGATAATAATTAAGATTCAAACAAATTTAGAAGAAATTATTTGGCAGACTCAATCATTAGATGCATACCAGGCTTCATCCAGAAGTGCAATAATTCCACCAGGTTTCTGTAAAATATGGAAGAACTTAGGTTCAGTCATTCTGTAACATGCTCAAGAATAATAAGAAAAATCTATTCACTGTAAAATTATCTGCCATGTTATGTGAATATTGGTTACATGTCTAAAACAATAACCAAAGTCTGCAAAGATACTTAATCTCACCTTCTCAATCAGATCCAACACGTCCTGGTTATCAACGAACTCTATGTAGCTCCAATTAATTTCTTCTTTCGTATATTCTTCTTGTTCCATTTTAAAGACGTGCTGAAACCATATAATTAGAGCGCAATTGAGATATGGAGAAACTAGTACTAGAGATAGGAAATGAAAAATGCAAAAAGCAAAAGCAACCTGATTGAAATGTTGTTGCAGCTTCTCATTTGTAAAATTGATACAGAACTGCTCAAAACTGTTATCAGGGGAAGTTGTCAAATGCAAAACCAAATCACTCACCACAAACAATGTCTAAATTTAGTGACTTACCTATTGAACTTAAAACTCTCAAACCCATAAATATCAAGGACACCAATTAACGATTTTGAGTTTGGATCTTGACCAATGGAAATGTTAATTTTGTCCACGAGCCTGTGCATAAAATGATCACAAATTGTCAGAACCGGAAATATTGAACACGCAACAATTTTAAAAAGTAGTAGTTAAACTACATCAATTAACTGCTGTCGATATGGGAAAATAATTATTTATCCTTCTGTAAAAGCACAAGTGCAGTGAGAGGAGGGTGAAGTATTAAGGAAGTCAGATACCAATCAAACAGGCGTGAATAAACAGTTTTTGCCAAGGCATCCCTGCTAATCACTGCAGCAACAGGATCGAGAGTTCTTGTGATAACCTCTTCAGGTGTTACCATTACACGCTTAATCAGCGCATCTTCCAAGCTCTTGACATCACACCTAGTGCATCGTACAATTAATAGAAGTGCATGATATCAGATATATACAAAAATATTAATGTAATAATGAAACTCCATGAAATATACGAGATGACAATATATGGCATACTTAAGCAGTTCAGCTGTCATGTTAAGATGGAATCTGGACTTCTCATCCTTAATGACAGAAGAGTCAATCTCCTCTCCTTTTGCAAAATTAACATTTCCAAGATGCAAAATTGCAGCCACAACCCTAAAAATTGCCTCCTGAAAAAGAACTATTTGTGTCAAAGATGCAATGCAACACAAAGAACTAAAGAAGTTAAAATGTCTCAGATGACTAACCTGCTCTTGCTCACTGATTCCAACTATATCCATAGCCCTTCTTGTTGCAAGATATTCATGAGCATCGTCTACCCCATCCAGCTCATAACAGCTGGATTGATTTAAATAATGGAATTCTTTACGGTTTCCCAACTTATATTTCTCTCTGTCCTGAAACATAAAGATAAGATCAGTTCTAGTTGGTAACAATATGAATTTGCAGTATCTACACACATTCTACATGTATTTGAGTATTTGGCATGCAGAAATTTGAGGGCATTACAACATCAAAGTCATTATAACTACCTCATGTGGTGCAGCACAAAGAAGGTAAAAGCAATGATAATTTCTTTCAGGATCCGAAATTTGGCAAACACGAGATCTCTCGAGCAAATAAGTGCGTACAGCTGCCCCAGATATCCTCCCATTCTTGTCGAATTGGATCTCAACAAATTTACCAAAACGACTGCACCAGTATACAAGAATAAACATAAATATAAGCTGTTAGAGAAGTTAAGCTTATAAAACCAACTTTTTTAGCATTATATATAGCAAGATTTGACGAAAGTTTAGTAGCAAAAGGATAAGTGTGAAAGAGCTGAGGGTTTCCAACAGCAAGGTTGCCAAGTCAGGAAGAATGGCTGACCACAGTCCACGTGTTGGACATAAATTCAAACTTCACAACCATGAATTACCTAGAGTTGTTGTTCCTGACAGTTTTAGCATTGCCAAATGCTTCAAGAACTGGATTGGACTGTGAAACATCAACAAATAAGTAGCACATTATCGACATATGATATTTTAATTATCAGAAAAATTGAGGGACCACAATTTTGTTCCAAAAAATATTGCTTTATCATACTTCTAGAACTTGTTGTTCAACTGTACGTCCTTCTACTCCAGATCGACCCCCAAGGTATGCAAGGTATCGCATAAGCATCTTTGTTGTCTCTGTCTTACCAGCACCACTTTCTCCACTGACCAGAATGGAGTTGCTCTTTCCCTCATTAATCATTGCCCTATTGTAAATAGTGTAGAAATCGTTAATATATTATGCAAAGGAAGGGGAAGAAAAGGCAGGATGGTAGAATATATGATATTACCTGTACGCAACATCTGCAACTGCAAAAACATGAGGGCTCAATTCTCCAAATGCAGCTCCTTTATACTGTTCCATCATATGAGTATCATACAGATGAGGTAATCTTTGAAATGGGTTGACTGCAATCAGTATGTTTCCGGTGTATGTCTGGTAAGACATTAGAAGAGTAGTAAATAAGACAACTAACATCTTTCTTTGTGTCAGTCAAAATCTAAGTCAGTAAGAATGAAAAATGAAAATATTAAGCATCTTACATATATTTCATTAAGTTCATATCTTGTTGCCAAATTATGCAAAACTCCGGGTTCATGCAAATATGACAGCTTTGTCATGTCATCTACACCTCCTGGAGGAGCTTCAGTATCCTTTGGGAAAACTTTTGCCATATTTGCGACAACCTACAATCAATTTTCCAGTCATGACAATAATACACCAATGAATGAAGTCGATCGTACATAATTTGCTTTATTGTAGCTCCAGTCTAATAACTTCGCTCAGCAACAAGTAAAATTGGATATCAAAATGCATGATTAAATTTTATATAAAAAGAGTATATGACGAATAACTATGGTGTATTTGCAAGATTTTTATTTGTTCACTAAAATATATAATCAACAAAATCATGTTGTGCCGAATGTGGTTAGTACAACTCACCGTCTTCCCATTAGATGTATGAACATGAACTTCTTCGCCACTGATCCGGAAAACTTCTCCATCAATCCACGCTGCAACTGGGTCTTCAACCCAAACATGGGAACCTACTATAATATTAACTGGTGCAGCCTGAAAAGAAAAGTGCATTAGAATCTAAACAAGAGACAATACATCCAGACAATTTGCAATCCCTAAAGGAAAATTGTCAGAATCAGGAATTCGTGAACATTCTTTTTCTTCTGATATCTGGATTATTGAACAAGAGATAACAAACTCATAGTAGGTTATGAAACCTGAGTTAAAATTCATGTGAACTTTATGCTATAGTGGACTAAACGCCCATGAAGAAATACATCAGCTTCTTTGAAGTACAAGACCAGAATCACTAGATATTAGGAAGGCCAGTTTGGAGGTACATTATGCTTTCTAAGCATTCAAATGAATGATTCAAACTTCAATTTCCCCAAAACATTATCAGAAAAACTAAACAAGTTCAATCTTCGGTCTCTCTTTCTACCATTGACTAGTTGACTTCGAAACCAGGGCAACAATCAACTTCCCACGACGATTCCATGTTTAAAGATACATAATTTCTAAGCCCAACAATACTTATAAAGAAAATTAAATGGATAGATTAGACATATCCATACGTTTTAACTTCGTAGAAAAATCACATCATTTCACAAATTGTGAAAATGACTTTGATACACCAACTTGTATATTTTTTTTTTTTTTTTTTTTTTTTTTTTTTGGGGGGGGGGGGGGTTTCTCTGAGGAACCACTAATAGCAATCTTGATATTGGCAATAAAACCATTCTATTCTATGATATATCTTTTCAGCCAAAATCTTTCTATGCCAAAATTAACTCCTATTTCACAAAATTACATTTTCTTACAATGCTTTGGCATCAAAACCTATAATTTGGCAATGCAAGGACTGATTGATTAAACAATCATGAAATTGCAACATAGTTATTAGCTATAAACAGCAAAAAGATAAATCAAACATCCTATAATCACTTCCTCCAAAGTTTGAATATTTTATCGTGATTCCATAAAAGTTTAACCAAAAAACACATCGCAACCGATTCATCTCAGCTAACCAAACGAGTCAAGGAAAATCAATCAAACCAATCGAAATTCTCCAAAAAGAACAAGAATCAATCAAGCATTAGACGGCTTGTTCTAGTTACCATAGCGATTGAGCTCCGCGATCTTCTCCGCTAACTCATCCGAGAACAGGCCCCGAGTCGAAGAAGAAGGAACTCGGTGAGTCAGATCGGAGAGAAGACACTAAAACAGCTTTTGAATTTCAACGGCAATTTCTATAGACAGAGAGAGAGAGAGAAATGGAAAATAGAGAGAAAAAAATAAAATAAGCTTTTTATATTTTTTTAGCTGAAGAAGAAGACGATAATAAGAAGCGAACAAAGCACAGAGAAGAGCGAATTTTGCCCCCTTTCGAAGGGTTTTGGTTTTTTCCTTAAAAATGAGGTGAAAATGGAAGTTTTTTTTTTTTATATATATTTATGTATATATATACGAGAGGAAAGGCAAAGCAAAGAAAAGCTTTTGAGCTTCTCTTTCTTTGTCATTCTCTCTCTAGGTTCTTTCTCTCTCTAAGTATTTTTTTTTCTCATTTTTTTTTTTGGTTTTTTTATTATTTTTCATTTTTACACTAGTCTGGTCAGCTGGGGTCCTTGGAAGAGAAGGCTATGGAGGACTGGTTCGACACTTCGACTATCGTGGCCTCCACAAACAGTGGCTCTCGGTTCTAAAACCGACATTATTAAAGAGCTAATTAAACCCCAAATTTTGGATTTTCGTTGCTCTCTCTCCTTGTCTTTACTCTTTAGGCATCTTCTTCCTCTTATTTACGGAAATACCCTCCACTCCTTTTTTTTGGGAGGAATATTTCTTCCAACTTTATGACATTGTTTATTTTACCGAAAAAGTCACATCTAATTTTTTTATTATAATAAAAAATTTTCATATAAATTCACATCTTAACTCGAATTAAAAACTCACCATATATGTATTAATTGGAATTGGATGTTCTTTTAATTACACTCTAAATTTCTTTATCATGTCAAATTTACCCCTTTTTGAGTTAATAACTTATTTTTGTTCCTTGAACTAATGAATTTGTTATTTGTAGTTTGTTAATAAACCCGTATTCAAATATTAAATGACAAATTTACCCTTCATACATCATCGATTAATCTGAAAATACAAATTTTTGACTATTTCTTTTTTTTTTCTAAACATAACGCCTAATATGTATTTGATTACATATTTATTTATGAGATGCAAAAAAATAAATTTATCTGTTTATATTTCAAGTCCAACTATTGATTTAAAAAGATACACATGTTCAAATGTGCAATTTTAAGGACATCCAGTATACATTTTTTATAAACTAAAAATGTAAGGTATAAAATAGTAGATAACCCTTTCTGTTATTATTATTATTTCTAAAGGATTTTTTTTTTTTTAATGTCATAGGAGTGGGCTTGCCCATGATTACAAATTCCATAGGGTAATTATATAGAATATAATACATAAAAAAGGGGCTTACGTGATGGATTGGATCATAAACTAAATTATAAGCAAGAATGACTTTACATTTTTTTTTTTTTTATTTAGGCAAAATTTGGAGTTTCAATTCAGCAAGTTAGTACTATTCCTCACGTAATCATACTTTTTGGATTTGATTGATACTCGAAGAGTTTTATTATTGGGAGAAGTCATTCAGACGTGGATACTTGAGATACGTTTTGCATCCATTTGATTATTGGGACCCTTCGTATGGAAAGTCTGAAATCATCATAGAGATTAGAGAGAACTCATTTATAATTCCGCAAGGGTAAATTTGTAATTCTGATATGTCCAGGTGAGTAATTTGAAGCCGAAAAAACTTTGAAATAATTATGTTCCGACCAAAAAATAATTAAAAACGAAAATGTTGGGAGAAAGTTACACTACGATATACGCCCACAATTCGCGAGAGAGAGTTTACCGTGCGAAGCACTTGGACCTTAATATGTTATACCCCACGTCACTACTGGCCAATCATGCAGTTAGGACTGAAGATTGCATCACACGTGGGTGGGACCAGATCAACCAAACCGCATATGTGACACGTAAGCAAGCTAGTGTGAGCTTTTATTTTATTTTATTTTTAATTTTCTTCTTTTTCAATTATTTTCGCTTGATTTCTTGAAAGCGTAAGGAATTATTATTGTTAACTTGATAACTTTTTTGTTGTTGCTAGAATATTAACTTGATAAGCTTGATTGAAAATTCAACTGGATATGTTCCAACTTGAGAAATAAAGAAATAAAAGCTTCATTCACTTTACGGATTTAAATTTTTAATTTAAATTAAGATGTGACATTTTTTGAAAATTTTTAACTGTAGTAAAAAAAATTTAAATATGACATATTCTGAAAGTTTTAAACTTTAGAAACCTAAAACTAAAAATTCGAATCGGTAAAATGAACGAGGCGAAAGTTTACTTAGGTTGAGTACAGAGTCACGATGAAAAATAAAAGTAATCTTGATAAATACTCTTTAAAAGTATATGGATTAAGATTTTTATTTTTTACTTTTTATTCATAACTTTTTCAGTTAAATAATTATATTAATAAAATAATATTTATCAAGAATAAGAGGTAAAAGTCAACTCTTAAGGATAAATTCTGTAATTTTATCTGAAAGGCAACCATGAAGATATTTTAAGGACCCGTTTATTTCACACTTGAACTCAAATCATTGATTATGTTACAATTTTTTCCTCTCACAACAAAATTAAATTTCAAACGCCATAATCAAGAATTATGATTTGAGTATACATTCCAAACGAATCCTAAAATATCAAAAGGTTTAATTTTAATCCATCTTTAAATGATACTCGTTGTCTCAATTTATCTTCTAAATTTTCAAATGCCACATTAATGGCCTCCAAATTTATAAAGATTGCACATTTAGCCCCTTCGTGACAAAACCGTTAAAAATAGATGAAATGAGCATGCACATTATATTTTTAATGAGGGTAAGTTGATAAGAAAATTTAATTTCAACTTTCATTGAAAAATACTTAATACCTCGCTTTGTCTACTAAATTTTTAAATGACACATTAATGAGTCCAAACTTTACAAGTGTTGTACTTTCAGTCTAATATTTGAATGTTTAATGTTAACATTTCATAATTGTGAAAGCTAGTTAAATTAGTATAATGAATGTTTAATGGTTTAAATCTATGCACAGACTATGTAATGTTTTTTTTTTCTTTTCTTTAATGGCAAAGCATTCAAGTATGAAATATTGGACTGAAACTGCAACGTTTGTAAAGTTCAAGAGCAATTAGTTTGACATTTGAAAGTTTAAGAGCGAAATGAGACGTTGAGTATTTATTGGAGGACTAAAAATATATTTAATCCTTAATTACTTTTACCAAATTGTCCTTATCAAAAGCATCATGTGCGACTCGTGTGTTCATGCCGTCTATTTTTTAACGGTTTAGTCATGGAGAGATTGAAAATGCAACGTTTGCAAAGCTCAAGGATTATAAGTGCGATATTTAAAAATTTAAAGAGATAAAATAAGACTACGAGTATTCCTTGTGGGCTAAAATTTAAATTAACCCTTACCAAAACAAATTGTAATCTTTTTTTTCTCATATGTAATCTAAATTATGTAGCATTTTTGGTAGAAATCTAAATTATGTAACTTGTTATCAAAGAAATAATGTACATATAGGAAGAAAAAAAAACACTTGTGCATTATTCTGATGTTAAATTTCCAATACGTGTTAATTAACAATAATGTTTCGTGAGCAATATTCTCTCTGTTTCGGTAACAGTTTTACTAGTTTCGATAATGCTCGGATCAAGAGAGTCAAAGTTAAAATCACATGGACAAAGTTAGAATGGGCTTAAAATATTTATGAGACATTTAGTTCATGGATTAGAATCATGAGATTATAACTATTTTCGATTTACGTGTATTTTTTATGAGATAAAATACTGTAATAAATTATAAATCATGATTTGAATCAGGATATGAATCCCCTTATTAAACGTCCCCTTAGTTTTATTACTCGCAGGCATAATGTATTGGTAATTCAACATATGATTGCATCATAATAAGATATAAAAGTCGAAATTTCCTACTCAAATTAAAAAAAAAATACTCCTTTTGTCTCTTTTAATCCTATAAATAATTTACATGCCTCTTATTTTTCTGCTCATTATCTAATCATCAAAATTACTAACCAACTCTTCTATAATAATGTTGTTGAAATAAAATCAAATTAATATGAGAAATAACATATTAATATTATCATCTAAGAGATCTCTCCCCTGACTTCACGCCTTGCATCTATTAACAACAATAAAAAATGATCATTATACTTGTTTAGTTTGCTGATTCGAGTTTTTAATTTAAACTGAGATGTGACTTTACGTGAGAGCTTTTTACTGTAACAAAAAAAAGTTAAATGTGACTGTTTCTGAGAGTTTTTTACTGTAACTAAACTAGAATCAGTGAAATGAAATGAACAAAAGTTGAACAAATAAATAAAACACAAAGTTGTTAGAAAGATGTGTAGATCCTAAGCTCAATGCAATTATTTTTCTTTCTCATTTGTGAAAATTAGTCCTCAATTTGAATCTACATCCTTTCCCTCACTCGTGAGTTAGCAATGGTAACAATTCCTAGCCACTACCTTCAAGAAAAACAGAGAAAGTTTGGTTTTCTAGAGCTTTTTGTTTGATATTATTCCTAATTAAACGTATTTCTGGAGGTTTTGAATTACATTCATTTTTGTAAATTGTTCATCTAAATAATTTCCGAACACAATTTCGTGTTATAATACAAGTACAACCGGGAGTTACAAAGAAATAAAAAAAAAAAAAAAAAGATCATTACAACATTATGGTCACCGTTCTCGTAACAATGATAAGGTATTCCAAATGAAAGCGAAATCTTATCCTTGTGTCCTTTTCCATTTCCTAAGAGTTTTTTTTTGTTCCTTAATTATATATCTAATTATTATGTTCAGACATTGCTGCCATATTGGAAACTCTTTTCGGATAATTACTACCTATTCGCATAAAATGCACAACAGAAGGATGGCATTATAGATTGCTCCTTTTTTTTTTTTTTTTTTGTCGCTAAGGAAAAGGATTTTATTGAAGAAGATCAAAAAGCAAAGAGGAAGCCACATTGGGGGCTTCCATCCCATGAATCACAAATCCCGTAAACTTGGTGGCTAAAGACCACTTACATAAACGACCTATAACAGAATTAGCAACTCTCGCGCCGTGCTTAGAATTTGTCCCGTTCTTGTTTTTCACGTTTTTTAAGAAAAAAAAAATAACATTTTTAAAATGATGTTTGGTGTAATAAAGACAAAAAAAAACATAAATAAAAATGATTTTTTAGTTTAGTATAAAATGAGAAAGAAATAAAAAATGACTTTTAATCGTTTTTTATTTTTTGTTTTCATTTTTTTCTCTCTCGAGCAGAGAGAGAAAAAGAGACATTAATGAGTTTTTTTTTACACTGAAAATGATCTTTTAATAAAACTACTAAACACATTTTTTAAAATGATTTCTGCTAAGATTGAAAACGTTTTCATTTTTATTTTCATATAAAAAATAAAATCATTTTAAAACAAATTTCAAACATACTTTAATTATCCAACACAACTTAACAGAAGAGAAGCGACATTGAAATCTAAAGTAGATTGCCATTCAGGGCAAGGATTAGAAGAGCCTAGCGCATCTATGAGAGACTTTCAATCACTTTCTACCCAAACTTCTGACCATGGCTTGAGTTGAGAAATTCGCAGAGCTCTGAATGAGGGCCAAAGTCTCTGTGTGAAAACGCCGAAAAAGCCTCTCTAAAACCAACCCAAGCAAGAAAATGGCACACCTTTGAAGTCTCTTGCGAAGACATACAAACCAGTCATATTGTTCTTGAAAGCGGCATCAATATTACGTTAGTAAATATCCTTTAGCAAAAACTATCACCGTTCAGGAACGTTCATGTTAAATCACTAAGAATTAATAGACTAATAAGCAGAAGCATATCTGAATTAATGACGGTCAATTACTCTTTAGAGCTGTATGATTTGTTTTCCAGATCAATACGTTTTTCTAAAGAATTCTTTATCTTTCTCACCGCTCTCTCTGATGATAAGATGTCAGAAAGAATAAAATAAACGTGTGATCTGAGAACCATAACCGCTATATATAGATAATTTTCCCGTTATATTTTAATATTTCTATTTTAACTCATCATAAAAATAAAAAGTACCCTTAAGTCTCTACACATTAAAGGCTCACACTCTATCAGATACATTAAAATTCAAATTACATAAATCTTAGCAGATCACTTTTAAACGGTCTTAATCTTATATGATAGTTCGAAATACATAATTATTCACATATAAACTCAACGTTAGATTAAGGATCCAACATATTAATCTTATGCCTTGTTCGCTTCGCGGATTCGAGTTTTCAATTCAAATTGAAATGTGATATTTTCTAAGAATTTTTAACTGTAAAATATTGAAAACTTGAATCGGCGGAAGATTCTATTTGTAGCGATTTGAGATGCTTGATCAGTAATATCTGGCTATCACCTCACGCTTTTAAAGGGCCTGAAATTCTGACTACCGAGGTTGTTCTTTTGGAGTGTAACTTGAGTATAGTTTTTGAGTTGAATTTGAATTATAACTTGAGTTGAAGTTGTAACTTGAATAAAGTTGAGTAAAGTTGAATAAAATTGAAACTTAAAAGAACGTAAACTTGATTAAACTTAGAACTCGAGTTGTCTTTTTTTGAGTTTTTTTAGACAAAAGAACATGCCCAGTTTTTCAATAGTGCTTTGCAAATCCACAGCACGACCTGCAAAAAGCTAACGAGTTTCTACACTTCCAAACCTCATCCAACAGCAAAGAAGCATAGAGGAGAAATTCTTGATGATTCAGTTGGCCACATAACACCCCCACAGGGGGATTAAAAATCAGATTAAGCAAAACCACAGGGCCTAAGCACTGCAAGTCATCCTAACGGAATGAGAACCTGCACATAACAAGGACAGAAATTTAAGAGAATCATAAAAACGAAAAAGGGAATTATGGGATCCATTAGATTTCCTAATTTTATTTTCTTATTGTTTGTTGAAATATTTCGGGGGAAAAAAAAAAAGAAAAAGAAAAAACAAGAAGTCAGATGATACAAATGCTAAAAAGAAAAGAATATTTTTACCATACTTGCCTAATTTTCATGGTTTTGCAGGGTCCTTTTTCTTGTCACTAATTTCACGTTGTCTATGTTATTGCACTGAAAAACACAATTTGAATATCACCTTATAATTGGAGGAACGGTTATACACATATAATCTGATCCATATATCTTTATTTTTATAGTTTAATGAAAACATATTATTTCCTTTAATAAAGAAAGATAAATCTAAACCTAAGCATTCTTTTTTGTTTTTCTTGAGATCTTACAAAAGTCCCATCGTTATCATTTGATATGTTTCACAAATGAGAGATACCTACCAGGCTACCACTCTCCTTTTTCAACAAATAAAAAAAAAAATCCACACGAAAACTTTCTTTAAGCAAAAAAAAAAAAAAAAAAAAAAAACGCAGAATTACACTTTAAAATGGAAGAATAAAGATAATGGGGGGCAAAAAACACCTCCTCCTAAATAACACTTCCAAACAGAGACAGCTCAATTATAATTTAAATCTACATACAACGATATTATGAGTCCTTAAAAGATAAAAATCTTAAATCAAAAGAGCCATTTGATCTTTAACATAGTCCACTTTCCAATTAATGTTCGACTCAATATAGATATTTCTAACATGTAAAAAGATATTTTTAATCTTTTTTTTAATAACTCACATGCATCTTTTTATTTTTATTTTTTTTATAAGTGCACATGCATCTAGTTGAACATAAAATGATATTTTTAATCACACAGAAAATAATTAGTTCTGATCACTTCTCCCACATCAAGGTAAAAAACAGTGAACTGAGGACACCCAATCACGAACACACAGACCGTGTTTAAAATTGATTTTATCTTTATTTTTTACATTTTATAAAAAAAATAAAAAATTTTTTAAAATAGCATTTAACACAATAAAAATAAAAAATAATAATAAAAATAATTTTTTAATTTAGTGTAAAATAAGAGAGAAATAAAAAATAATTTTTAATTATTTTTTATTTTTATTTTTTTCTCTCACAAGCAAAAAAAGAAAAAAAAATATATTAATAAA